TTATGGAAGCTCAGTTTGATATGTACAAGAGTTTCAAAGATAAAGTAAATCTAATATCAGCAAAAGAGCTTCGCCTTCAGCCTTACGGCCGTGATAAAAAGGGAGTTTCCTACTGGTGCCAGTTAGACGACTGCGCAAATCTCCGTGTTTACTGTGATGACCAAGATGAAGAAACTTGGACGCTTGTTGCAAGGTTTGTGAATGTATTACAATTCATAGTGTAATTATTATTTTTTGTCATTTCTTATTCAATTATCTAAAGGTTTCCCATTAGCTAAAGGTTTAACAATCTTGTGAACTCTTTAGTAAGTTTAAATGACTAAGCAGAAAGGTAGTATTATTTATTTATTGGGGAGGATTAAAAAAAAAAAAAAAAAAAAATCCAACAAATTGTTCAACCGACATAAATCCTAAAATAATACTTGAGTAAACTGAGCACAGGAATGATACATCCTACATATATGTGTGTGTGTGAGAGAGAGAGAGAGTGAGAGAGTACTATTTTATGTCCCCAATGGCATTTTTCTGATCCATATACATTGCTTTTGGTGAAGGGTTCACTAATGAATGAAAATAGTGTTGGTTTGAGAAAAGATCTGTATTGTCTCCCTGAAATTTATTATTCCTCAAAATCTCATTTGATATTTAATGTGAGGGTCAAAACAGTACAAAACAGTATCAAAATGCTACAGATATCTGTGATATATATATAATATATATATATATATATATATATATATATATATATATATATATATATATATATATATATATATATATTTTTTTTTTTTTTTTTTTTTTCATTCATTATTATATTATTATTTTATTATATATATTATTATTATATTATTATTATTATTTTATTGTTGTTGTTGTTGTTGTTGTCATTGTTGTTGTGTTGTTTGGTGCCACCTGGCATGTTCCCTATGTTTCAGATTGGTGTGATTGATTTCACACATATAAATGATGTATACATCTTTGTTTTTATTAAAAACTAGATTTTTGTATATATATTGTATATATATTATTATATATATATATATATATATATATATATATATATATATATATATATATATATATATATATATATATATACATATTTATATATATGTATATATTCATATACCTGTATACACACACACACACACACACACACACAACACACACACACACACACACACACACATATAAATATATATATGTGTATATATATATATATATATGTTATATTTTTATATATATATGAATATAAACATTTATCTTTATGTGTTTCACGTGTGAATGTGCAAATTGACATTGTTGGACAAATTAAAGGAATCTGGCAACTTACAAAGACTCAAGAATAGATATTAATGTAGTGTTCCTGAATGACAAATCAGATGCTTGTTCCCCACACTTATGGCATCAGATTTTTCAGGGGAGGCTTTTTATACTGTATATTGCCACTGACAGTTTATAGTTTCATATACATGTGCCAGTATCAGTAATAGTGATTCACAGTGATATATATAATGCTTATGGGAGTTTATATCAATATGAATAGAAAATGCTTGACCACCAGAAAATTATTTTCCATCTCCCAGAACAGTAATAAGATGATCCATAATATTTTGCACATGATCTTCCGAAACCATTCTAATTGTCTTGCAAAATTACCATTGTCTGATAATTGAGTGTTAAAAAGAAGTGGTTACATTGAAGTGTTTCTGATAAGATGTTTCTCTTATAGTCTGAGAGGAGTTACCAAGTGCCACTTTTAATTCATTTTTTGGGGGGTTAACAAAATCTGATTGTGATTTTTTTTATTATTTGGAAATAGAAAATCAAGAGAAATAGACAAAGAATTACTGTAGAATGGTTGGAATAAAGCAGAGAAGCTTAACAGAGTAAGTATGTATGCAAAAGTAAATTAGATTATGATTAGCCACATTTTTAGTAAACATGTTAATCCCTTGAATGTGTGTAATGTGACCATCACATCATGAAATATTTTGGTTTGTGGGGCAGGTAAGTGGAACAAACCACCACAGAAAAATGTGGCTGAGATCTGGGGTGATGGGAACATGCTGTTATGAGAATTTCAGCTGATGGCCAGGGTGACGGGAAGGAATCTGAATAACATGGAAAATTTTAGCTAAGGGCAAGGGAGATGGAATATGCTGTCCTGAAAATTTTGGCAGAAAGCTGGGATGGCGGGAATGAATCATCACAAGGGCTGAAAGCTCTTGGAGGTTGATTAGACTCTGTGGCCCTTTAGGATTGCAAAATTCTTATTAGTAATGTATTGTGGAATGTATGTCATTATTCTTGTTGGTAAACAGGTGTGGAATGTATTTCATTATTCTTGTCTATAAACAAATTTGGAAAGTGCCATTCTTGAGCCATGACTGGGAGAGCACTGGCACCAGGGAGGACATTAATTCCATGCTGAGGGCCTTATTCCAGCCCTCTGTTTCCATTGCAGGGTGTATTACAAATAGATGAAATATTATAAAAGATAACATGACAAATCAGAAAATTTTACTTATTTTTATTATTATTACAATGAGTTTTAATGACTACATAGAGAGAAGATATAGAGCCTATTGAAGGAAAATAGTCTATTATCATCTTGTTGTAGTATATCTTATGACAAATATAGACATTGGGAAAATAAAAAGAAGAAAAAACCCTTATGCTGAAAGACATGATAGACTGTAAATGAGTGTTTGTGTCGGCCTGACCTAAAAGCCATGCACTCGTGAGAGTCACCACTCATGTTAGCTCATTGGCCGGATTTTGGGCAGTGAAGCACCCAGATGCAATGGGTGAAGAATGTTTGTAATGTATGAATATTTTTCTTTTGATTTAAATTGTGTAAAAGGTGTCTGAGTATATCTATATATCTATATATGGTGTGTGTGTGTATATATATATATATATATATTATGTTATGTATATGTATATATATATATATATATAATATATATATATATATATATAATATTAAATATATATATATATATATATATATATATAATATATATATATATATATATAATATATATAATATATATATATATATATATATATATATATATATATATATATATATATATATTATATATAATATATAATATATATATATATATATATATATATATATATATATATATATATATTAATATAATATATATATATATATATATATATATATATATATATATATATATATATATATATATAATATATATATATATATATATTATATATATATATATATATATATATATATATATATATATATATATATATATATATATATATATATATCCACACACATGTGCACAAGATATTGAGAAAACTATTGATTTATCATTTCTTGTATTTTTGTGTAAATAAAACCCATGTAGAAATGAGGTTAATCAGCAACAACAACAACAAAAAAGGAGTGTTTATTGCTGTTTCATTGATGTCTTTGGCTTGGAGCTACCCTAAAGAAAAGGTTAAATGTAAACCAGATTCATTAGTGGGAAGGAGAAAATAAGTGTAGCAACAACGGAGGAGGAAGAGCGAGGCATGTGCTTTGCACTGATTGCCTCAGAAGGCCACATAGCCTTATTAGTTCATCTTGCTATTGCCTTTGCCTTACTTCTTTCTTCAGGTCAGGTGCCAGTGCTTTATCTGTTGTTTTCTTAGAGAAAGGGGTAAATAAATGAAAAGGGGAGAAAGTATCATCAGGGCCTCCTCGCTCTTTGAAATATCACAGAACCACGCTTACTCAGTTTATTCCCCTGCTTCAGATAACTCATACAGTTCAGACAAATTTGCTTACATGAATGAGCATTGGGCATGTGTGTCTATTTTTATTGTCAAATTAATGGTCTGTAAGATCCTGATGACATAGTTTTGTCATCCATTTCTCAGCTATTCAGGTTCCTGTGAAATAGAGAAACATGATACATAGATCAATATGTATATACATATTTTTTTTTCCCCATATATTTTTCCCTTACTATTTCAGACACATTTTGTTATTTAAAAGTAATTTGAGAGTTTCTATAAAATATATTGTCTGAATATATATTTGTTGAAAATTAATTATATGGCCAAATAGCGCTGGTGAACCAGGTGGCTGCACTTTATTTGTCTAGCACATTTTAGAACTGATAAAAGGTATTTGTTGCCCCCCTGAATGAATTCTTCAGTTTATTTATTTTAGTTGAAAATTGGTACTGGGCAACTCTATTCTGATGCACATTTTCCTTCAACACATAAGGGAAGTGTGTTTTGTATTTTCCATAAACTTTTTTTTTACTCTCATCTCTTCTCTCTCTCTCTCTCTCTGGCTCGGATAGAATTGCCATGTAACAGCTTGTATTTAAATCCTTAGCTCAAGAGATGAACTTGTGGCACTCATCGCAGAACTGGATTCAGAGACTCCCCCGGGAGCCAGCAGAGAAATGTCAGTTGATGGAAGTCGTAGTGGAACAGCTACACCCATGGGACTGAGTGAAGCACCCACGCCTGTTGACAGCAAAGCTGCCACTCCAGTTGCTAGTGGGAGAACCTCGCCCATCCTAGATACAGGCCAGGACAAGGAAATCGACCAGATTGACAAAACTGAAGAGAAAATCAAACCGAAGGTTGTGGAAGTTGAGAAGATTAAGGAGAAACTAGAGGGAGAGAAAACAAAACTAGTTAGTGGGGCAGGTGGAGAACTGCAAGACAGTGTGGAGAATGAGAAAAAGAAAGAAATTTTACCAGAGGCCAAAACAGAAACCATCTGTGATGAGAAGAAAGAATCTGTGGAGGAGAAGGTAGAAGAAAAGGTTAAGGAAGAAGAGAAACATGATTTGAAAGTGGAAGAGAAAGATGAAGCAAAATTACAGAAAGAAAAAATTGAAAAAACTGAAGAAAAGCCACAGGATAAAGAAGGAAAATATTCATCTGAAAGTAAAGTAAAAGAAACTTTACAGGAAGAGCAAGTAAAAGAAAGGTTGCAGAAAGACAAAACTAAAGAAAAGGTGGGAGAAGAACTAACAGAGAAGTCAAAAGATTTGCCAAAGGAAGAAAAGGAAGTAGTATTGAAGGAGAATATCAAGAGAGAGGACACAAAGGAATCCTTACAAGAGGAAAAGACAAAGGAAATCTTAAAAGAAGAGAAGGCTAAAGAGATCTTAAAAGAAGAGAAGACAAAGGAAACTTTGGAAGAGGAAAAAACAAAGGAAACATTACAAGTGGAAAAGAAAATAGAGACACCAAAAGAGAAGGTAGATGAGTCTGTACAAGAAGAGAAGCCAAAGGAGGCATTCAAAGCTGTGAAAACAGATGAAAAATTGCCCAAGGAAAAATCAGCAGACTTGGCTAGTGCAAAATTGGATGCTGAAAAGGGAAAGGTTGACATAAAAGACGAAAAGGTTGTAGCTGTTGAAGAAAGTAAATCATCAGAAAGGCAAGTAACCAAGGAAGAAAATATTACAGATAAGGCTGAAAAGAACATTAAAAAGGAAGAAGTTGATAACAGACTCTCAAAGGCTGAGGAGACTGAAACACAAAAGAAAGACAGTCTACCTCATACTCAGAAGGAGACAGTTCATTTGGAAACAAAACCAATGGCAAAGTCAGGGGAGCAAGACAAGAAAACTGAAGGAGAACATGTAAACAAAACAGAAAGAGAACCAGTAAGGAAAACCAGTAAGGAAAACAGAAGGAGAACCAGTAAGGAAAACAGAAGGAGAACCAGTAAGGAAAACAGAAGGAGAGCAAGAAAACAAAACAGAAAGAGAACCAGTAAAGAAAACAGAAGAAAAAGAGGAGAAATTAGAAGGAGAACCAGTAAAGAAAACAGAAGAACAAGGAAAGAAATTGGAAGGAGAACCAGTAAAGAAAACAGAAGGAGAACAAGAAAAGAAAACAGGTGAACCAGTAAAGAAAGTAGAAGGAGAACAGGAAAAGAAAATAGAAGCAGAACAAGAAAAGAAAATAGGAGAACAGGAAAAGAAAACTGAAAGAGAGCAAGAAAAGAAAACTGAAGAACAAGAAAAGGAAAGAAAAGAACAGAAAAGAAAACAGAAGAAAAGGCACCTCTACCAGTGCCTGTTAAACCTGAAGTTAGTGTCTCCTCACTTTGTGAAGATATAAAAGCAAAGAAATACAAATTGGAGAAAGAGAAAAATCTTCAAGACGAAGAGAGAGACAGAGGAAAGTTTGGGTTCAGTGAAAAGTTTGAGGTTAAGAAGAAAGAGAGTGTGTGGGACAAGTTGAACAAAATGAAGGAAACATCCAAGAAGGAAGTGCCTGAGAGCAAAGATCTGATTGGTGGCTATAAGCCCAGTGTGGCAAAACCTGGATCTGATGTGCAGAAGGATAAGAGGTCAGAGGCCATGAAAGAGGAGAAGGAGAGTTCTGAAATGGCCAAACCGAACACAGACAAATCCTCAATCAAGGTTAGTGAATCTTTACCAAAGCTTGAAGGTAAGCCAACAACTACTTCAAGTGGTGAGAAATTGACTGAAGGACTCAAAGGTACAATGCAGGAGTCCCAGAAGCCATCTGGTGTAAGTACCATTGTCAGTCCTTCAACTGTGCTATTAAACACTCCCTCCAGTACCTTACAAGCTGATAATACTATTACTGCATCCTTGAAAAAACCACTAGCTGTTTCTCCAACAAGGAATGAAAGTACTCATGAGCCTCCACAGAAGAAATTAAAAGTGGAAGATATTAAACCTCTTGAATCTCAGAAAAGTCCTCCCATTGAGGAGCACAAAAACATAACTCAGATCTGTGAATCAGTGGGTAAAGGGGGACAACTTTTAAATAAATCAGATTCTGCACCAAGCAGTACACAGTCTGAGGTTAAGCTTAGTATGAAATCAGAAACAACTGGAAGTAACTTTGCTTCTAAAGAAGATAAACAAATACCTTTTGAAAAGGATTCTGATAAAACAAAAAATGCTTCTGAGCTATTAAAAAGTGAAAGTCTAGTTGTAAATACAAAGGAAGCTCATTCTGATACAGACAAAAGTCTGTGCAAGCCAGTTCAAACTACGAATTCTGAAAGTGCAAAAGTAGATCAGGAAAAGGTAGATACAAATATTCCAAGTGCAAGTAACACATCACATTTGAAAGATGAAACTAAGAGAAGCAATGAAGAAGTTAGTAAGTGCGTACCAGTTCCAGAGGAAAGTAAAAGTGAAAGGCAGAAAGATTTAGCTGCAGAAGAAAAAATGGAAGTGGAGACATCTACTTCAGACAAAGAAAAAAATACCACAAATGTATCTTCTGAGACTGACACAGGTGCTTTACCAGTAAAGGATGAAAAAATGGAGGTGGAATCATCAAGTGAGCCTAAACCTTGTGAACCACCAGACAAAACTGCAGTTCATGATGAAAAGAAATCAACACATGAAGACTCAAAGATGGAAGTTGATGAGGCAGTCCCGGAGGAGCAGCCATCACAGAAAGACTCAGCTAGTGATGCAAAAATGGATGTTGATAAGAAACCAAGTGATTCGACAGACAAAAACAGTGCAAAACCCATAGGACCAGAACCTGAAGTAGGGGAAGCAATCACAGAACCTGTCATGTTGGTGAAGGGGGATGGTGAAGGTGCTGCTTGTGAGGCAGGAAACCCACTGCTGGACAGTGATATTGAATGTCACACAGACTCTTCAAAGCCTTGGTGGGAGTGTTTTAGTAGAAGTGATAGTTCAGGTGATAGTGTAGGGGAAGCTGTAACAGAAGAAATTATGTATTTCTGGGGAGAGGGCAATGGTGCTGATTGTGATGCCGGAAATAATGGTGATGAAACCGAAACTAATTCTGATGCAAAGCAAGCTGACAGTGGGGGGAGTAGTGCAGCTGTTACAGCAGAAAATCAAGGAAACCCAACACCAAGTGAAATAAAACCCCAAAAGGAGGTTGATAGTTTAAGACCTGACAATGAAGCAAAAGTAGTTGACGGAGTCCCAGACAGTGATGAAACAAAAGTGAATGGAATAAGAACTATAGACTCAACAGAAAAGACAGAGAAAAGTTTGAGTATGCCTGAAAAAACAGGGGAATTGGTTGAGAAACATAGTAGTGTTAATGGTAAGAAAACCAAGGAGAACAGTGATGAGTGCAATGATAGAGATAAGAGTGAAGTGGATGCAGTAAATGATAAAGAGGAAGTAGTAGAGGAAAAAACTAAATCAGAATCATTTGAGAATGAAGAGAAAAGTTTGACAAATGACAAAGATGAGGAGAAAGAAAATACTGAGGAGAAAAATGATACAGAAAATGTCAGCAAGTCAGAAACTGCCGACAGCTTAGAAAAAAAAGAGGAGGCAAGGGAGGATGAGGAATCATCAATAAAAGAGGAAGAGAAAAGGGACAGTGAAAGTGAAGAGGAAGATGAAGAATCCAAACCAGTTAAAAGAGGCCGGGGCAGGCCTTTCGGCACTCACAAAAAACGTCCGAAAGGCAGAGGAAGGCCAGTGAGGAAGGCGGCTGATCAGGAGGCCCAAGGTAGTGATGCTGAAAATGAAGAAAAGGAAGGAGAAGCAGACAATGATGGAGAGGAGGATGAAGACAAATCACCAAGTAAAAAGAGAAGACAACGAGGGAAAGGCAGCACTGCACGACCATTGCCTGATGGTAAGTTGCGTCTTCCTCCTTTTTCTTTTGCTTTCTCTTGACTTGAGGCTTAACCATTGTATAGTGGATTCAGAGCTTAACTAATGGAATGGCAGTGCATTTTTTTTTTTTTTTTTTTTTTTTTTTTTTTTTTTTTTTTTATGCTGTCAAGCTGTGTATTTATCAAGTAGTCAAAGAATAGTTATTAGATTCAGATTCAGAAAAAAATGATAGTATAAATTTTTCAATGATTTGTAATTAAACAAAAATCAGGAAGGAAAATGGGTTTGCATCTACCTCATGATGGCTGTATTTTGCTTGTTTACATATATGTATATGTATATATATATATGTGTAAATATGTATTTATTTTATTTTATTTTATTTATTTATTTTTTATTTTATTTTTTTCCACTCCCAATTTACTTCACTTAATCATGTTTTCATGTACTGCTGTGTGTGTATATATAGAGAGAGAGATTTGTTTTCATTGTAATATTTTATTTTCAGGTTAGATAGCTAGATATGTGGATAAAGATATGATCTCAGGTAGATTTAGTGTGTGCACATTAGTTTGGCCATAAACATAGGGCTGCATACCCATCAAATTTTCCTTAAATACATCATTGAAATATTTATGCTCTCCAAACCTTTAGCAATTAAAGTTTCTAGGTATCACAATATGTGACTCCATATGCAGTGTGTCAGTTCATGGACATCATAATCAGTGTCAGTGATGAACATTCCACAGTCCATGGCATATGTTGTATATATTCAAGGCAATTGTTTAAGTAAAAGCTCAAGGATGATTTCTCATTTCTTGCTTCTGAGTGATTGATATCTGGTCTATCTTATTAAATGACACTGGACCAATGTGAGCATGAGTTATACCATTGTTATCATTTAGCAGTGTGCAATTCATGTAGGCTTTGTGTGAAACATTCTGTTGAGGAATTGATATGTATCCTAGCTGAATAGAATAGTCTGGTAGATTCTCTTGAGGAACTTTAAAACATTTTCTTCTTCTCCTTTGTTATGAATATTATTTGTAATGTGAGTTTTTTCTCTCACCTTCTTTCCTTTTTTGTGGCTTTATTTCATTACACATTCCTTATTTTTGTTTTATATATTCCACCCCACTTTTTTATGCAGATATAAAAGACCCATATGTGATAGTGCATCTGCTTCATTTCTAGCCTGTAAGCAAAACATAGAGGAAGCCCCCCACCCCCCTTCATATGATCTGTCCTGCATTTATAGGAGTAAAATCATATTCAATAGGTTTCCTTGTATGTTTATTTTTTGTCCCTCTTTGGACCACTGACCCCAGGTTGTGTCCTTGACTTGCACACTATAAAGGCTGGGAGCTAAGCAGTCACAGTAGCTCCTCCCACCAAGCTTAGATCACAGGACCAAGTAAGGGCTCATCAAGGAGGAGTCCACCAGTTGCTTTTGATCCATAGCAGTGTAAAAGTCCTCCACAAGGGGGAAGGAACTGCATGTATGCATGATAACTTTAAGTGCAAAATTAATTTTTATTGTTGATATATTCAGTATTGTTTAGTGTGTTTGTTTTTATTATTATTATTATTATTGTAACTAGTAGTATTTAAAGTATTTATTTAGAAACAAGATCATTTCAAAGGTAAGTGCAAGTAATAGAAAAGAAATGTTTGGGTATTTTTTTCTATTATTCACAGATGGGCTAGTCAGGAAAGATTTATTATCAGTTAGTTACATGAAGAGTATTGTATGGACAGCACCCAGGTGACTCAGATGCAAGCATTGAAGGAGAAATAGGGATTTTCTCAGATTTTTATTATAGTTTTATTTTTTTCTATTATTCACAGATGGGCTAGTCAGGAAAGATTTATTATCAGTTAGTTACATGAAGAGTATTGTATGGACAGCACCCAGGTGACTCAGATGCAAGCATTGAAGGAGAAATAGGGATTTTCTCACAGAGTATTACATTTTCACTCATAATACAATATATTGCTGCAAGTAATAGAAAGTGTGCAGCCATAGTTTGATATTTTAGTCTAATATTAGACAGGAAATTTTTAAAAGTTACCGAAAACATTCCTCTTGGTATGAAGATTAAAATATAAATTTCAATTCCTTGCAGTTCCTAGACAAAGGTCAGCACGCATTGCTAAGATAAGAGAGAAAGAGGAAATGGAGAGAAGAGAGCTGGAAGCTCAACGAATGAAACAGCTGGCAGAAGAAAATCGGCTGAAGGAGCTCAAGAGGAAAGCCAGAGAAGAGAGACGAGTAAGATGGAAGCTCCTCAATTTACTATTTAAAGCTTTTGTTTTCTAATGAGCATTTGAATATGAAAAGTAATAGCTAGACACTTGAGCTGAGTTTTTTAAAGATTTAAATAATTCTTTCATTCCAGTCACTAAAAAAAGAAAAAAAGGAAAGAAAGAAAAGAAAAAGGTAAGGTATTTGGTTAAAGAATCCAGTTCGCCATATTGCATGAATAACCTTTGATTAGAAGTAGTAAATAATAATGTATGCTGCACCAAGATGCAGTATATAATATATATAAATATATATTTATATTATGATTCATTGGAAAAGTTCTGTAATATCTGTTTTCTCTTCTGCTTTTTTAGAGCTATAATAGAGTTATAAAAGCACTAACATTAACTTTAGGCTCACTGACTTTTATAATATTCAATTAACAAGAATGTATGATTTCCCAAACAGGATAGAGAAAAAAAGAAAAAGAAAAAGAAAAAGCGGGGAAAGAAGAAAAGAGCTCATCCAAATGATCCATGGGAAAACTCCTCAACTTCATCCAGGTAGATTTGTGTATTTTAATGTTACTCAGGATAGCTGATAACTGTTAGGATTACCTTACTCATCTGCAAGTTTGTGTCCTCTCAGCAAGGCTTTTACTTTTTAAAATTTTCTCCTCCTCCTCCTCCTCCTCCTCCTCTTCCTCTGTTCTCCCCATTTATAAGGAGAAAAGATAGGGAGAGATGTATATGTGTGTATATGTATATACATGTACATGTTCTTGACTAATATTTCTATTTAGTTTCTCATTCTTTATGGTTCATTGCACAAGTTCTACAAAGTTGTATTTAGTATGTAACCTGCAATTCCTATCATTCTCTGTGGCTTTCACATAGGGTTGTTTATGATGAGTAAGCAATTGCAGATGTCAAAATGCAGTATATTTATGTTTTTATCTTTCTGATATAAAATGACCAAATTTGACAAAATCCCTTCACAATGCTTTGAGTATGTCTTTTTAATACCAGTGTTTTTTATTTTGATTATGTGTAGTTCAAGTACTGAGGAAGAAGAAGAATATGACCTAGAAGATGAAGAAGATGAAAATCTTGTGTTCAAGAGTGACCACGAGTTTTCTCCAGAATCAGATGTCGAAGAAGCTGATGCTCAGCCAATTAAAAGAGCAAGAACAGCAAAGAAAGGTATGCAGACAGCTTTCATTGATAATTGGAATTCCTCTGCTTTTGCTTGATCAGAAGTATAGATATATCCTTTTTAATAAACTTTTGGCCATTTTCTAATTAATACCTCTGTCAGTTGCCTTTCTTTATTCTTATCTCTCTTCTACAAATTTCAGTCACAAGTGAAAGTGAAGTTGAGGACCAACCAGAGGAGGAAGAAGAGGAAGAAGAGGATGAGGAGGAAGACCAAACCCAATGTACAAAATGTGGCCATGATGATCATCCCGAGACCATCTTACTCTGTGACAACTGTGACGCAGGCTGGCATCTTTCCTGTCTCCGCCCACCTCTTCTTAGTGTTCCTGAAGGGGACTGGATTTGCCCTTCTTGTGAACATGTAATTATATTTTTGCTTGTTTTAAGATGACAGGGTTAATTCTGATTCTTTCTTATTTTCTTTCTTTTCATTTTCTTTTCTCTCTTTTTTTCTCTTTTTTTCTTTTCTTTCTTTCTTTTTTCTTCCCTGTATACTAAAGAAAGCTTATAAATCAGAGGTTCATTTAATTTTGGTGGTAGAGTGCATTGTAGTGGTGTAAAGGTTTCTTCGTGAGAATTAATTGATGGTTCTTCTCTCTCAGGTTCTGCTCGTCAGCAAGCTGAAAAACCTCCTAAATGAGTTTGATGAGTGCCAGAAACGGGCTCACAATGAAGAATTAAGAAGACAGAGACTTGCTTATGTCAGTGTTTCAATGTCTAATGTCCTGCCTGAAGAGAAGAAGAAAAAGAAGAAGCGGGCAGAGGATGGGGAAGATGATGACGATGACGATGAGTCTGGAAGCGAATCAGATTCAGATGTAAGAAAATGTTTGTTTGTTTGTTTGTTAATAACTATTGATTTCATTTTTTTATATTTTTTCTACTCTTTTTAGTAAGATAACTACATATTGCAATTATTAATATATTTATTTCAAAATTATAAGACTTGTGAGTCAATAATACTGTTGTCCAGCAGGAATCAGACAGTGAAAGTGATGATGACAGTAGTTCATCTAGTGAGAGTTCATCAGGATCCTCAGCACCTCTTTACACTCTAAGAGCTCGCAGTGCTCGAACCTTAAGGGAACAGGTTGAGGACTTTGATGAAATGATAAATGAAGCCATCAGGGTAAGTAATGAATTGAGTCCTTAAAGAACATTTGCTAATTGAGTTGATAGTTTTATGTATTTGAAATAATATACCCTTTTTGTTTTAAGAGGATTCTTTGTTTATTATTATTTTTATTAGTACAATAAACTAGACAGGCAATGATGCAGAATACATCCATGTTCATTTATATTAATTTGGATGAAAACCTGTTTCCACAGGATGAAATGGAAGCAGCAGCAGGAGCGGGGAATGCGGGCAGAGGTAAAGACATTGACAACATCATCCAAGCAAACGATGAAGAGATGATGGAAACTGAAGAAGCGGCCATGGAGGAAGAAGTGAAAGATGAAGCTGATTGGGAAGGTAAAGAATGTGTGGATGGCCATGGGAAGTTGAAAGAGGGGGGAGAAGATGAGGAAAACGAGAATGAGGAAGAAAAGCAAGATGAAGAGGAAGATGGAGAAGAAGATAAGCTGAAGGAAGAAGAAGATGAGGATGAGGACGATGTTGCTCCTAAGAGAAAGAAGCCCAAACCACCACCATCAGAACATGATGGTAGTGGCAATGATGAGGACTATCATGAGAGTGATGAGGTAAGTATAACCAAGGTTTGATGTTTAAAGTTTGTATTTCCTTATTTAATTGCCTACTAGGATTAGTTATTACTTTGACTTTATATTTTTCCATTTACTATCTTATTACTTGTAGATTTATATTATTGTTTCCTCTTAACTTTTTCAGCAAAATGAAGAGGATTCAGACTCAGATGACATGAAAAATATTAGAAAACGTGGGAGGAAGATGTCAAACTTAGTAGTAAAGAAGAAGCGACGGCTAACAGACTTAGATGCTGTGGATGAAGATGATGCCAGTGATGAAGACTTCATAAATACAAGGTCAGACTCTTGGAAAATATCACTTCAGCTTACAAAGCATGTATATGTACTTGTGGTTGTGAATTTGGGTTGATATTTACTTCAAAACTTTCATTGATTCCTATACATCATTGGTTACCTATCATTTTACAGTTTGTACAGAGGTTTCAGTTACTTTCTCTTGTGTGTTTAAACACTCTAGGCTCCATTGAATTCTCTTTAAGCATTTTTCCACAATTTTTTCTTATTTGATTAACACAGGAATATTTAATGGAGCAGGTAGTCACTCTGTATTGTAGGGCATAATTCAGATTTTATACATTTTATAATGAAGTCATATTTTTTTAATATAACCAGTGAGGAGGAGGAGGAGGAGACTGAGGAGTCAGTGGAATCATCATCATCATTGGCAACGGAGGTGGAGAGTGATGACTCAGATGTTGTCGGTTCAAAGAGAAGACGTAGCAGTAGATGGGAGAACTTGCCACTACGTCGTTCTGCCCGTAATCGACGAGGTGGAGATGATTATGGTATGGATTCTTCTTCTTTTTCACTTTCATTATCTGTACATTGTAACAGTTTCATTTTAATTGAACTGGTTTGATAGTAGTAAGTAGACAGTAAATCATCTACTATATATTTATGTTTCCTGTACTTTATAGTTTATTGTTAAGAGATAGAGATTGTAAATATAAATGATACCAATTGTCTTTTATTATCAATAAACAGATAGTGAAATGGATGAAAGAGTTTCTAAAAAACAGAAGAATAAGAAGAAGAAGAGACGAAAACAGAGTTCCAGTGAAGAAGATGAGGATGAACTTAGTTCAGACAGTGACAGAAGTTATAGAAGGAGAAAGAAAGTGTAAGTTGCATAAATCAAGTTTTTCTTCAAAAATGCATTTTAAAAATGATGTGTAAATATCAGTTCTTAACAGTGTAAAAGTATACCTAATTGAAAAATCTACATTAACATCAATATAGACAGTTTCCTGTCATAATTAATCATGCATCCAGATAGAAACAGTAATACACTAGCCAGTTGGATTGCATTTGAAAATGCCAGATTATATACATCCAAGTGTTAATAGGAAATTATGCTCACATGTTTTAATTTTGTATCCTTACTTTTGCTGAAAAATATTTTTTACATTTAAAAACAGAAGGAAGAGACCCCAGCCTAAAGTCAAAGGTCGCAGAGGTTCAAATAAAGCCAGAGGTGGAAAGAAAAATGCAAAATCCAAACAAAAACAGAAAGCTAAAAACCCCGCAGGAGATGATAAAGAAAAGAAACCGAAAGTAAGTGTCTGCCATTATTGTTTAACTTTTGTGTGTATTTGTTTATGTTTATGGTTCTGCCTAATGTTTCTTTTGTAATGTAATTTAGCAATATTTTCTGTTTAATTCAGTATGATTCATAATTAATGAAAATTGCTGTGTATAGGATTTCCTGTTTATATCATTATATATATTTTTTATATTATGTGTAAGTAAAATTTGTTAGTTGTAAAATTAAAGGCACAAAACTCTCTACAGATAAAGTACTCAAAGCCACCCAAGCCAAAAGACGAAGATCAAGAAGAAGAAACTCTTGCCCAGCGAAGAGTGACAAGAGGACGGCAAGTTAACTACTATGATGCTCTCCTAATGTCAGATGAAACAGAAGAGGAAGAGGTGGGTACCAAGGTAGATTTTCATGATTTTGTTCATTGAAAAATGAATGAATGAGTGAGAGAGACTGAAAGGACATTGTATTGGAATGAAAAGGTTCAGATATGTGGGTGTCCGTAACAGATTCACACCACCACCACTACTACAGATCCTAACCACTCCCGTTTTACTTGATGTCCTGAAATAAATGTTACATTTATTGATAAGAAATGGCCTTGATTACTTTTCTTTGTTTTTAAATCTGGTTCATTGTATTCAGTGCAGTTGATGATTAAACTTTTGTTTTTTATTACAGCCCCAAAAGAAATGGAGAGGGAAGGTGATGAAAGGAGAACGAGTTCCAACAGAGAGCAGTGAATATGAAGCTTCCGACGATGAAAGAATGAAACGCCGAGGAGTCAGTGGTGGTCTTGGGCGGGGCAAAGTCATGAAAGGGGAAGAAGAGGGTGAGTTACAGCTTTCTATTACAAGGCTGTTGAACAGTTTTCTCTTTCCGTCTTTCTTTTTAGTATCTTTATTTTTCATCATCATATGACACATCATCATTATTATTGTTTATTATTGCTGTGATTCTTGTCAGAATTATAATTATGAGAATAAGGATGATGTTGGTATTCTCATTTCTGAGTGAATGTCAAAGCTATCTATATGAAAATCATAACTTTAATTCTGTTATCTTTTTTATTATTATTATCATCATCATCATCAACCTGAAGGTCCATTTAAGAGGTTGATAAAAAAAGAGTAAATACAAAATGTCTGAATAATGTTATTGCATTTTGAATAAATATCAAAACCAACTTGTGAATCAGTCATCAGTCAAATGCATTTCAGCCCCTGTAAAAGAAAAAGGAAAAGGAAATAAAGTGGAGATTGCTAAAGAAAAAATTTCGTTGGCATTGAATTTAAATACAGCTCTTTAATTAATCAAATTTTGTTGAAGAGAATAAGTCAAAAAATAAAGTTTTCTCACTTTTATTCCGGGTGAAGAGAATAAGTCAAAAAAATTTAATTTTCCACTTTCTTTTATTCCAGATGAGGAGAATAAGTCAAATAAAGGGAAAAAGAAAAGAGGTCGACCAAAGAAGGATGAATTAATTGGAAAGCCTTCTCCGACAAGACCATCCACGATCCAACCTACACCAATTACCACCATAGCATCAGCAACATTGGTACCTACTGCAGCAGCAGTACCGTCTACTCCTGCAGTTCCAGCTGTTCCAGCGGTTCCAGCTGTCCCAAGTGTACCATCTATACCATCTGTACCTGCTGCACCTGCTGCTGCCTCTCCTGTTCACCACACTCCAGAACCTGTGGCATCTGGCACCCCACCTCCTACAAACCCAGCTACTTTACAAACTAACACAGCTTTGCCAACTACCATAGCAGTTTCTGCAAACATTGTTGCTGCAGCTAACATGGGAAGCAATGCAGCTCCAATTAATTTAGGAAATAATAGTCCTGGTCATCAACAACCTTTAGGTAAATGGTCTCCTCATTTGTCTGGTGTCAGTGGTGCTCCGGGCACACCTCCTAGGTCAGGGATGGGTCCCTCTCCTGGTGCAGGAACACCACCAACCCTCCCTGGTTTATCTGGGGCTCCTGTTACAGCTTCACCACCACCACCCTACAGATCCTCACCTCTGCCATTAACCCCTAGTGGACCAGGAGTACCTCCTGGTAGCACAGCACCTAGTAATATGCCCCCAGTTGGACCCCCTACATCAACAGTGGTTCACTCACCTGGTTATCCACCTTACAGACCTTCAGAACAC